TGATGGTACTTCTCCATTGAGCCTTGATAATCGGACTCGAGGGTTGACTGTAGCTAGTTTATCCATGATCTTATGCCTCATATCAGCTGCTGTGCTCTGTAATGGAAGGGGTGGTAGTGACATTCCAGCTTCAGGTGTTGGCTGCACATCTGCTTGTTCTTCCAGGTCTGCTTGAGTCCAGATTGTAATGTGGAGTTGGTCTATCTCATGTTGTGAGAGCAGCTTCCTCTTCACTATGTTGAAGCGCTGGGTAACTAGTTGTTTCTCAGTTAGTGTGGATGTAGGCCTTCTGTCTATCCATAGTTCCCTCATATGTTTCATATATCCTCTCTCATTAGGTCTGCTGTTGTAGTAGCATTCCATCAATTCCAAGTTCTCTTGTCTCGTCCATGTATGGTTTGTTCCAGTAGTCCACTTAACATCAAATTGTCCTGGTTCCCCAACATCTGACGCGGACCTTGTTAATCCGGGCGACGTCCAAGCCAGCATGACTCTCTTAGTTCGTGTCACTCTCATATTTTTGAGGTAGGCAGGTGAAGTGTTAGGGGGTCTTTGCCCAAGGACCCCTACTGGTAAGGTAGGTACCAGCTGGGATTTGAACCCCAGTCTCCTGCATCAAAGGCGGTGTTCTAACTACTACGCTATCCAGCCACCTATACCCCTACCTCATGGCCTTACTATTGGGCAGGGAAGAAGCAAAGGAGCTACCAGAGATACTGGAAGAAAAATGCAACATCAATCTAACCAGCATCTCAGCCTTCCCCATCTTTGCTTCTTCCTGATATTTGGACTTCAACTTCTGGAATGTTCAGCAATAGTCATGCTACCTGGGAATTCTTAGAATTGAAGTCCACACTTCTGGAGGATCTCTAGCTTAGCAAAACATAACATCATAACCTCACATTCATCAGGATTTCTTCCAAGCATTCTTATGCTCAGAATGGCTGACAGGTTTAGAACATCAGTTTGGAATAGCACTGAATTTCTGTATGGTAGCAGCATTCTTATCCCTCTGCTATTAGGGAAATAACTCTAGAATGAAATGGATCTAAATGCCTAATTTAGTAAGGTGTCCCTGTCAAACAAAAGGGAAAGAATGATGTAAACAGGGCTAGCGTGGGTGCTTAATATGCTAATTCAGTGCTGACCTGGGTGAAGATAAAGCCTGCGTGACCACTTTTTCCCCACATTACTCAATGCTGTGCAGTGAGAATTCTCATTGAGCCACATGATGAGCTAAATGATTTTAATAACTTCCAGCAGTTAATGATAGTGTACCCCATCTGTAACAATATTATAACTCAACCACGTAGCCCAAATATTATGCATATCAGAATTAGAAGAGTGGGAAAACAGTATGACCCCAAATGATTTCAGCCTCCTATATTTTGAAAGAAATGCTTTGGTAACCTTCTCAAGAGCTATAATGTGGTTTATGTTAATGTTTAAAATAAGTTTCAACTGTCCAAGCTATCTTTTATAATCACAAGGAAGATTATCTCAGGTTTGGAATAAGACATTCAAAAAGCTAAGTTCTATTTTTTAGAAATGTTATAATAAATTTTAATTGGCTGTGTAAGTAAATACATAGCTGTGTGTTGTTTTTAATGGGAGTATAGGAAATATATACAGGAATCTACTAAAATGAGCTTGAGCATTATCTTTGTTTCTACTGCTAAGCTATAATGGCTACCCTTAAAAAAAATTGCCTCAGAATGTTATCTTTACATCCAATAACTAATCATGTGTGCTACATTTATGTGATGGTTAATGTCTTGTATATCTTTTTCTCATAACCTTAATATTTTTCCCCCAAAGATTTTTATTTACTAAGACAGGAAAAATGTAATTGGTAACTTCTTGTATCTAAATGTCTCCAGATGTTCTTCATCAAATGCTACGTGGAGGTCTGGAGACACTAGCTATGAAATATACACTAGAAGGCGGATGTTGGAGTAATGGAAATGTCTTTATAAACAATCATTCCATCATTAGTGATATCGTTTTATGCTTGTTATTGAACTGCTGAAGAGTTTTGCTTGGTAGACCTTATTTCCAGCCTTTTGGTGTCAGTTGAAGTAGAGTCATGCTGAAGATAAGATCAGCGCTGGCAGGCCTTGTCAGTGGAAGATCATGTAAGGGAGGGTTTCTGTGACAGTTCTTCCCAAATGTAGGCAACCAGGGCCTCACAGGGGCATGGAAAAAGTGCACAGTGTCAAGTATGAAAACTGACACTAAATGGAGAATCAGGATTTTGCCATTGGGAATGAGAGCTGTGTTAAAGGTTTTTATTGGATCTGTCAGTAAATTCTCTTAATAGCTACACATATCTTTGCATTGGTTTTAAATAGATGAATATGGAATAATTACAGCAGGCCACCAAAATGAGATTGGTTAAAAAAAATTTTTTGTACCAGTCCTAAATTCATTCTCTGGAATATGTTTTATAATATGCAGTGGAATTTATTTCTGAATTGACCTGCCTTGGATTGTGTAGGAAATCATCACATTCTTCTTGTGTGCATACTTTGTGAACAATCTTTTTGGGTATTACAGTATGCAGGCAAGACTCTTACAAAGACTCTTCCAGCTTCTGTTTAATACTGTTTAATTTTTATAATCACTGTTCCTTAACATTTTAGTTTCAGGTTGTCTTGAATGAAACATTGAACTAGTTCCATATTTTAATGGCACTTTGTTGCAATACTGAAAGTATAATGCAGCAGTAATTTTTACAGGAAGGAACTTCCCAGAGAATTGCCACAAGGCTTCTCATGACGTGTGTGCTTCTGCATGTCAAAGATTAGAAAAGAAATTTGAGAGGAAAAGAATGAAAATTTACATTCTGCTTATGCATCCAATAAATGAAGTCTTTTCAGACATTATTGGATAAATATAGATTATATGATCTATTATGCTTTGATTCTAATCCTAACATACAGATGGAGACATTGAACCTTGATAGATTTATTTTTTTTAATCCTTGATATAAAATGTGGATAGAGTTACCATTTTAAACTCATTTTTATATGATAGCATTTGAAAATTCTCATGCTAAGATTCTTTTAAGCCATTGGCTAATTGAGTTGTTATATTAATCTATTTCAATTTGGTTCATGTCTGTAACATACAGATGTGGAGGCAGAGTTGCATAATGTCTGAATAGACATATGTCTTCATGGGAAGTGCCCCTGAGTTGCATTGCAAGTTGACAAATGGAGCTTGCAACCGGAGAAAAGACAACTGAGCCTGCAGTTTTGAAATCTACATTATTCCTGTCCATATGCTTGAGTTAATAAGAAAGGAATATGACTGAAAGTGACTATGGTTTCTGGAAATATAAAGGGCCTGTCCATATCACCCCTATGCCGGCAGCTGTATCAAGGCATTATCAATTGACTCAATTCATATTGGTGCTGCGTGCAACAGAATGGCTCAAAATTACATTATTAAAACAAAGAGCCACAAAAGGAAGACTTACAGGCACTTCATCTGACTGAAACCATCCTTGACAGGTACAAAATTTTCATATGAACCCATTTGAGCTATTTAAGCTATATTATATGACTAGGAACCATGAGTTTTGTCAGCTGATTTGTGTTACTGTTCTCTGAGTCCCAGATACCATGGTCAATATCTAGGCAGTATAGGAGTTTTAGTCTAAAACATGTGGAGATTTTCAGACAGATAGTCTAAATGTGTTCCTACCATAACAGTAAAGATTCCTGTATGTATGGCAACATATTTCATTTTTGTTGTTCTGATTAATTGATGTCACAGTACAGGATAAAAGAGCTAAAAGTTAGCTTGTTGAATTGGAAAACTTGCTTAATTGTGTACTGTGATGCCATCATACTCAACGGACATTCACAATAAGAGTATAATGATAACCTAATAGAAGTTGATTACTTATCTCATCTGAAAAATGAGCTTGTTGTAAAACTGCCTATCAGATAGTTCCAAAGTACCATCCTTCACAAGCCCATATTTAACACAGCAATATTTGCATGCATACCCTCTCTTCTCATTTACCATTTGTCACTGAGATAGCAAATTACATTCATCAAAATCCATTCATTCTCCCAGTATCGCTGAATACAGGATTATCTTGGCTGTGTCAGCTGCCCTATGACTGGTAACAATGAAAAATGGAGGTCGACATGCATCTTCAAGAGACAGTGCATATCAAGCTGGAAAGATTAATGGAGCTGATGTCATCATGTTTGTATGGTATAAAAATGAATTCTGGAAACTGATGGATCTCTTGGTAACAATGAATGCATTTTAAGCTGCTCCCCTGCTGCCCCTTTGCTGATGAATTTTAGTGGCCATCAAAAGAAATATACTGAGATGTTTTATTAGAAAGAAAAAAGTTTGCATTGATCCCTTGGGTGACGAAACAGCCTTCAATATTGACCTGGCAGGAGCAATGTTTCAACAATTGCCCAGTGCAAGCTCTTTGTTATCTTACCTGTGGTGGCCAAATTGTAGTGCCCAAATTATCTCCTGTAATACAGGTTGGCTAGTTACACTACAGTGAGCAAACCTTATTCCTAATAAATACATCAAGATAAAAAGAAAAGCAGAAGGGAAGTGGGAAGAATCTCAAGAATCTCAGTCTCTAATTATTACTAATAAACATAACAAATATATTAAAATTTCTGTCGACTATGGGCACCTATTCTTGCCTGTTGACACTAGTAACATTTGGAAGCAGGAGTACCAGTGATTCTCAAATAATAGCACCACTTTCATCAAATATTTGTTAACTGCAGTCTATTAACAATTTGGTAGTTCGTTTCTGAATACTCACAAATATGTCTGTTGTTACAAACGCTTAAAAAGTACATCTTTGATCAAATGGTCCTTAGACTAAATGGTGTGCTTGTAAAATTCTGAAAAGCTGGCTTAAGAATGATCGAAATGCTTGTCTGTACTTATCCTTGTAGAATAATATCAAAAAGAATGAAAAAGAGTGCATTTCCATATAGATGTGTTGGGAGAGGTGTTGGAACTTGATAAATATGCTGCTGTTTCTATAATGTGTGCAGAAGTTGGAACGCATTTGTTAGGCTCCAAGTATTTGGAAAAATGTGGAGTCTCTGCTTTGGCTGAGTATTTGGCCCTGAGTATCCAGCTTTGTCAGGTTTGCAAATGATCAATATTTGTCCCAGTACCAACTAAATCCAGCACAATGGGGCTCCAAGGAGCATGGGTCTGATAACTTGTTAGCAGGATGGTAAGACAATCAACATCACCACCACCACCACCTGTTAAACCACATTTGTCAAACCGTTGTGGAACTGCACAACATCATGCAGCAGATAAACAGTTGCGGGAAGGAGACTTGGCTCTGAGACAGAAAGATAATTAAGCAGATGTTGCCAGCTAACAAGGTAGGACAAACATCTCTCATGACCAAGAGCATCTAAGAAGTGGAGAGAGGCACTTTCAGGTTATAACTTCACTTATTGTTGGAAAGGTTATTTTGTAAAGATAATAGTGCAGTGCATCTAATTATATGTTTATTATTGTTTGTTTAAAGCATTTGCATTGACCCTCTGCTACCCCACCCCACTTCACCCCATCTCTTTCATTGCTGGACCTGAAATTTAGCCTATATCTTTATACTTGGTGTTCATTGATACTGAGCTCCTTGATCATGCCTGGCAAATAAGCACCTTTGACTTTTTGAGAGCATTCCACAGACATTCAGAGAAAAAGGGTTGCCATTGGACAGGACACTTGCCCATAGAAAAGTGGCTGCTGTCGTGGACATGGTTCTCCAGAATGCTTACTATCAATCTCCAGTTTATATTTGTCTTTTATCTAGTTAAGCGGATATATTTATGAATAAAGCACTGGGATACTATCAACTTTTTTTTTTTTTTTTCCCTGA